GTAAGACATAAGCTTACAACTTTCATTGGAATCCAAGATTTTAAAAGGCAATTTTCAAGTCCAACTTGTAGCAACAACGAAGAAGTCTGAATATGTCCTGTAGCTAGAATCTGGAGTTCTAGAAGTCCTAACATCCTCAATTTGTTTTTGTTGGAAATCTAAACAATTTCCTAGAACTTTTGTGTTTTAAGTGGTTCAAATTTTGACGTTATCAATGATATTTTGGGCAGACTATAGAAGATAAGGATTGTCACCAATTTTGGCCCATAAAAAGAGGTATATGCCATGCATTTAGGCATCTTGGTTTCCAGATCAAGATCATGCTCTTGCTTTCTCTCTTTCTCTCTTTGTATTGCTTATGTTTTGTTTTCATTACTATCAAGTTTATGCCTTTTATTTCCTTTCCTTTACTTAGTTAACTTTTATCTTATTTATGTTCTTATTTTATTTATTTATTTTTCCTTCTTTCATTATATTTAGTTAAGTTTATTATATCAAGGTGAAAAGGTTACACTAATGGTGTAAGAATAAGTATAGTTTAAACTCAACATAGACTTTAATGTTTGATACTAACATATTTCATATTTGTTATCTCGTTCACGTTTAATACTTTGCTTGTTAAATGGTTAATCTAGATTTATATTGTATAACACTTGGTACAACAAATACTTAGCACTTTTATAGCTCATATTGTATGATATAACTGACACCTAAGCTATGAAAGGAACTTGATTTGTTATTAACATAAGTTATAATCATGAATACCTGACAACATTTACAAGTATTAGTGTTATTCGAATAAGAGAAGTAATATAATCATGTTAAGAATTTCTAATTTGATTGGAACCTCCTTTATGTGTGGTTTTCAATTGAATAATTAGAGTTTATATTATACTTGTTTGACATACCACTAATGGATCCTCTAACTTTGACATTTGTTGTTATCATTGTATAATCCTTACATTAATCTTCCATCTCAAAGTTCTCATCAACTTCTTCTTCTTTATTATTATTATTATTATTATTATTACTATCACTACTAATATTACTATTACTTTTAGTATTACTATTACTATTACTATTATTGTTGTTGTTGTTGTTTATAATTTATACAATTAACCTCCTTGTGTTGTGATTTTGGTCTTGCCAGGTTATTTATTACTGTGACACTCTTGCACTTATAATGACTCAAATTGTAGCATGAACACTATCAGATTAAAGCTTTTTTCTTTTTCATTAAAAGATAAAGCTAAAACATGGCTATAAGATTTGAGACCTGGATCCATTTGTGCTTGGGATGAAATGCAACAGCAGTTTTTAAAGAAGTTTTTCTATTCTCATAGAACAAACTCTTTCAAAAGACAAATCATCACTTTCACTCAAAAACTAGGAGAAACATTTTACCAATATTGGGATAGATATTAAGACTTGCATAATACTTGCCCTCATCATGGTTTTGAAATATGGAGATTGATTTCATATTTTTATGAAGGGTTAACACCTAGAGATAGACAAATGGTTGAATTGATGTGCAATGGAACTTTTGAAGATAAACACCTTGATGAAGCAATGGAATACTTACACTTGTTAGTTGAAAATGCTCAAAATTGGAACACCACTCAAAATTAGGACACCGTGGGTACTTATGAGGCACTGAGTAAAACTCAACCTCATATATCTAGTGGAGGTATGTACAACCTTGAGGAAGATTATGACCTCTAAGCTAAGTTTGCATCTTTAACTAAAAAAGTCGAGGCACTAGAATTAAAAAAGAGTGGTCAATTAAAATATGTTCAAGACATTGTATGTCAAATCTGTGAAACCAATGAACATTCAACCAATGACTGTCCAATTTTGCCTTCTTTTAAGGAATGTCTTTATGACCAAGCCCAAGCTTTAAATACTTTCCAAATGCCCAATCATAACCTATACTCGCAAACATACAACCCTTGTCGGAGAAATCTCCCAAATTTTAGATGGAAGAGTAGAACAACAATCCATAAATTTCACAACCATCATTTCAAGTACATCATAATTTTTAAAATTCTCATAGAAATACACCTCTTTATGCTCCCCCTCCTAGAACAAATCTTAAAGAAATATTCATGCATTCATTGGAAAGGAAGAGGCAATCAACACTCAACTTGCTCAAAGCATGACAGATTTTAAAGATACTCTTACAAAGTTCACACCTACTCTAAGTTTCCAAGAGAAAGGTAAGTTTCCATCTCAACCACAATAAAATCCTAAGGGGCAATACAATGCAAATGCAAATAGTTCTGGAAGCCAACACATGTATCAACTCAAATTAGTCATCACTCTTCACAATAGTAATGTTATTGAAAAACCTACTCTTAAATCTTGTGAGAAAGATGATGAGTCAATCTCTAAGGATAAGGAAGGGGTTGAATTTGAAAATTGTAAAGAAAAGACTAAAGGGGTTGAATTTGAAAATTGCAAAGAAAAGACCGGTTCCCTGCCAGCACTTTCATTTTCTCATGCCATGACCAAACAAAAAAAAATCAATCACAACTCTGAAATCTTTGAAACTTTCAAATAGGTAAGGATCAATATGCCTTTGTTGGATGCTATTAATCACGTTCTTTCTCATGCTAAATTTTTAAAAGATCTGTGCACTGTGAAGAGAAAACTGCATGTGAAAAAGAAAGTCTTTTTAGTCGAATAAGTAAGTGTCATTCTTCATAATAATAATGCTTTCAAATATAAAGACCCTTGCTATCCTATAATTTATTGCTTTATTGGAGAACATAAAATTGAAAGAGCCTTTCTTGATTTTAGAGCTAAGGTGAATTTAATTCCATATTTAGTTTTTTAGAGTCTAATGGAAGTTGAACAATGAATACCTTATTTTGTGGAATTTGCAAATTATTTTTCTATTTTCACACTTTGATTACTAGGGACTAGGAATAAGCTGGTTGAGAGGTGTGATTAATACTTAAAAGTGCATTTTTATCAAGGTTTTATATCATCATTTTGCACTTGAAGTATCAATAACTCCTTAACTGAAGCATGTTTTATAATAACATATCTAATAGTATAATATACCTTTAATTTGTGGTAAATGTTCACTTTAAATGCAGACCTATCACATAAATAAAAGGATTGATTGATGAGTTTAAGTTTTGCAATTGAAAGGACAAAGAGATGGCCAAACTTAGAAAAGAGATACTGATGCAGTCCTAACCGGAACACTATTCAGTAATTAGGTCATATCTGGAGTTGTAGATCTCGAATTTAGGTCTACTTTGTATGGATGGAAAGGTAAGACATAGGCCTACTATAATTTTCATGTTTAAAAAGGTCGTTTTCAAGTCCAAATTGTAACAACAATGAATAAGTCCAAATCTATCTTGTAGCCTAGACATTGTTCAGTTTTCAGCCTATATCTTGAGTTCTAGAAGTTCAAATAACCTTAATTTTTTTTTCTAGAAAGTTGAGATAATTTTCTAGAACTTTCATGTACAAGTGGTTCCAATTCTGATGTATCAATAATGTTTTATTTAGACAAGAGAGGATAAGGATTGTCACTAAGTTAAGAGTTGGTCACCCACTCATCAATTAGTCATCAAATCAATAGTTCCTAATTTTAGCCTATAGAAGGAGGCATTTATCATACATTTAGACATCTTGATTTTCTAGATCAAGATCATGCTCTTGCTTTCTCTCTTTGTATTTTTTGTAATGTTTATACTTTGCTGTTATTAATATCAAGTTTATGCCTTTCATTTTTTTTCATTTACTTAGTTAACTTTTATCTTATTTATGTTCTTATTTTGTTTATTTATTTTTCTTTCTTTTATTATGTTTAGATAAGTTTATTATGTCAAGGTGAAAATGTTATACTAATGGTGTAAGAATAAGTATAATATAAACTCAACATAGACCTTAATATTTAATACTAACATGTTTTATATTTGTTATCTTATTCACTTTTAATACTTTGCTTGTTAAATGATTAATCTAGATTTGTGTTGTATAACACTTGGGACAACAAATACTTAACACTTTCATAGCTCATACTGTATGGTATAACCAACACCTATGCTATGAAAGGAACTTGATTTGTTGTTAATATAAGTTATAATCATGAATGCCTAACAACATTTACAAGTATTAACATTAATCGAATAACATAATTGATATAATCATGTTAACAATTTATAATCTGATTGGAACCTCTTTTATGTGTGGTTTTCAATTAAATAATAAGAGTTTATATTATACTTGATTGACATACCATTAGTGGATCTTCTAACCTTGATATTTGTTGTTCTCATTGTTTAATATTTACGTTAATCTTATATCTCAAAGTTCTCATCAACTTCTTCTTCTTCATTATTATTATTATTACTACTACTACTACTACTACTACTACAACTACTACTATTATTGTTATTATTGTTATTATTGTTGTTATTGTATTGTTGTTATCTATAATTTATACAATTAACCTCCCTATTGTTCGACCTCAGTCTTGCCGGGTTACCGAGTTATTTATTATTTCAACACTCCTGCACTTGAAAAAAGACATCAATCTTTTAGTTATGTCAAACTCCTTTTCATTTATTGTTTATAACTTTATATAATTCACATCTACATGATTCAATCCCGGTCTTACCAAGTTATATATTACTTTAACACTCTTGTAATTAAAAAAAATATTAATTTTTTAATTGTATCACTGATGAATGTCTTCTCTCCATTACTAAAGTTCAACAACTCTTTCTCTTCTCTTCTCTCAAATCAAGAACTGAAAATTAAAAAATATGAAGTTGTATCAAAATAAACATTTCATAACTTTGAATTCACCACTGAGTTTTTCATTTTAGTTCTCATTTTAGTTCTCAAGCTTTATTTGACCCGTTCTTAACAAATTAGAAGCAATGGAGTATTAATTTGACAATAAAAGAATCAATAAATGAGAAACAATATGATTACCAAATTAAAAAAAAAAAAAACTTCTACAGGAAATCATGGTGTTTTTTTTATTTGTAATATAATTCTTTCAATTAAGTTACAAACTCAAACTAATTAATGTTTGTCAAACTGTGAAAGCGACATGTTCCTGAATCACTCGACAGGGGTGAGGAGTGTAAATGGGGAGAAAGTGGAGGCAGCAGCAGTGGAATTCAATATTTATGACTGCCTTGGCTGCTTCGTGTCACCTGTTGTCTAGCTTCACCATCCCCGAACCACCCGTTGTGCGATCAAAGGCTCCAAACCTAGAAAGCCGGTAGACCACCTAGACCTTTTATTCCCAGTCTCCTGTGGCAGTTTAGACAAGTTTAAATGAACGGGTACACAAGGCAGATAATAGTGAGACCATGTATATCTGAGAAAACTAGTCAGAGAATTCTCGGTATGTAACTGATTCATTCAGTAAATTAAGCCTGCCACAATTGAATCAAAGCTAAAAGACAGTTCAATCGGACTTCCAAACATGCACTGTAGAAGCTCTACCTTCTTCACTTACAGGCTCACAAGATGTCAGAAAACCCTACGCAGAAAAGCTGTCCACGCCAAAGTGAATCACGCTGGGACAATAATGTAAACAGACTTAACCATCATCGACAAATATTGACAACTTCAATGCCTGTTAAAAATAATTTTCAACTTCATTTTTCTTTTCAGCTTTGATAATTACACATGCTAATGCAGACAGAAAAGAAAATCAGGAAGAACCTAAAATCTGGCCAGATGACCTAAGTCTACATTTCCATTTCCACTTGAACTAAAACAAGTCTCCTTTTCATTTGGGCTTTTTACCAACAATGCGATCCAGCAGCCATGTTTGAAACACACAGAATAGAGCATGTTTGGAGATTGATCTAAAAACATTCTTTGACAGTTCTGAGGACAAACCATGCAATCCCCAATGAACAGGTAAAAAGAATAAAAGAGCTTATGCAGCATAAAAAGAACATGGTTAGAAACATAACCCGGTGCCTTGAGATCGACATCCCAACCAAGACATCATGGGAAAGACTCCAACAACTACTAAACAAGGACAATGCCAACATTGAGCTATTCTGATGAAAGGAGCTAGAAACAACTTCTAATGACTTGCATTTGAACCAAAATTATGCTAGACCTTTTGAACTCCAAGATTCTAGTATATTGTGCCCCTGAAATGAAAGTAAAATGATGCACGAGAAGAATAAAAAGATCATCCAATTTCTACATGATGACTGTAAGAACAGTTGTTTAGTTGACTTTCAGTCATAGAAGCAGGAACTTGACCATCTAGTTAATATGAATAAAAACCGTAATAAATCAATTGACATATCTGGAGAGAATTTAAAACACACGCAGCAATGTTGATGACAACTAAAAATATTGGCATAGTTCGATGATAGGATAAGTATGCATGCAGACATATAGATCTATAGTCATGAAAAAATATATTCCTAATTACTTTGAACTTGCAAGTAGAATTTACCTACATTTACTCCCACATTCCAACATTAAAAATCATTGACTTCATATAGAATGCCTGCATTTTATTTATTTATTTATTATTATTATTATTATTTTTTGAAACTAAATGCCTAAAATGTTCAGCATAGAACAGATAACCATCGTACAAAATGTACATTTAGTGAAACACGGAACAAGTTTTACAGACACATTGCATAAACTGGTGAAAGGACATTGCTACACATCATAAAATGTTACATATCAACTATACGTAGTCAGTTGCATCATAACATTTGAACTCTACAAAACAACTAAAAGAAAAAAGGTTACAACAACAATACCTACGAAGTCCCGAAACTTAGCCAGCTGCCAAAAAGACTCCCATCCTTCAGCCGTCAACACCTTCACATTCTATTCCTTTCCACCCAGTTGCAGTTGCTGACTACACATAAGACATCACAAACTACGCCTGCACAGGATATTTCCTAGGCCTTCCTCTCTTCCTGGGCCCTGCCATCCCCGTAGAATTCCCAGCCATGCCCGTTGCACTCCCAGACATTCCCTTTGCCCTCCTACCAGAAGCGTCCACCATTCTATCCTTACTCTCCCCATCATCCCTCACTGGCGTGGCAGTTGCAGCATCACTCCTCCTACCAGCGCCACCATGGCCACCACCGCTACAACTCTTACCGCCCACATTTACCGCCACGTTGACACAATTGTTATCACCTCCTTGCAGCTGCTCCGTTCCAAACATTGGCGGCATCCAATTAGGAAAACCCGCACCTCCCCCGCCATTTTTCTCCCCACTACCTGCAATACCAAGTGTAAACCCCAAAGGAAAGAACCCCCAGCAACAATAATAAGACTCCTGCCCTGGAACCAGAGGAGGCAGTGACGGTATTAAAACCGCATGAAACCCTCTCTGGCAGTTTTGACACCGCAAACAACAATTCTCGTAAACCCTAGGATACTCATACAAAATATAACAATACGGACAGGCGGTCCAGAACGAAGATAATTTAGCTCTCTGTCCCTGCCCTTCTTGTTGATTACTCACGTTATTGACATTAGTTTTCAAATTTTCAGCCTTTTTATGGCCAACCGGTCTCTGGCTTCTTCTGACCGGTAATTTCCCTGAAGTAGACAAATCAATCTTCCAAAACAAACTCAATTCATTATCGTACAACGTTTTTTTACCAGTATCAGACAAAACAGCCCAAGCATCAGCGACAAGCTTGAAGGCATGGTCCGCAAAAGGGTACCTGTTCTTGTCTGGATGGAGGAGTAATGCGAGGCGACGATACTGCTTTTTTATAAGTTCGGAATCGTCAGTTTTTTGGCTGATTTGCAGGATCGAGTACCAGTCGTGGTGATTGTTGATGCGTTTTTCGGCTGATAAAAGTACATCGGCAACGGCTAAGATCTGATCTGAGCCTTCCAGAAGGGGTTCGGTTTCTTGAGCTAAAACTGCAAAGTCTTTTGTGCCGCTGAGATCTCGTGATTGTAAGAGTTTCTCGGCGATACCGAGAAGGCGCTCGGCTTCGGCTCTGTTGGGATTTTCGTTCATTTTGGCCAACGGAGCTGATGCTGTTTTTGGTTTTAACCGTTTGTTATGGAAGGTGAGGAAATGTTCGAGGGACGAGATTAAAATGGTACATGCTCGCTGCTAATGGCTGGATGCTTTTTCTTTATTGGACTGAATTGGGCTTGCTTTTGAGTTTTATAGGGAAATGGCGTGCAAATGAGCATTGGTATTTTAGTCTTTTAAGGTTTAAAACTCAATGAGAAAGATAAACTATCACACCAACCGAGTTGTTCCTTAAAAAAAAAAAAAAAATATGTTGTTTGTTTTTTTATTTTAAATAAATTAAAAAATTATTTTTTATTTTAAATTAATATTTTATATATTATCATATTAGTATATTAATATATTAAAAATAATTTTTAAAAAATAATAAAATATTATTTTAATTTATTTTTAAATAAAAAATATTTTAAAAAATAATTACTACTATCTTCTTAAACACTCCCTAAGATATAACTCTTAACTTTTTTATATTTTACTATACCGTAAAATATTAGTTTAGTAAAAAAAAACATAAAATTTAAATTAGTTTAGTAAAAAAAACATAAAATTTAAATGAAAAGGTTTTTTATTTAAAAATTTAAAAAATACTTTTCATTAAAGATTTAAAAACTAAAATGGTACATTATTATTATTATTATTATTATTAAAATACTTTAAAATATAATATTATTAAAAAATTAAAAATATATTTATATAACAAATAACATATTAGGATATAATAATACACAATATTAAAGTATATTAATTTGATATATTAGTGCATATAATACTTTAATTTAAATAAAATTACTAGAAAATACATTCAAACACAAAAATATTATATTTAACAATAATCATACATTTTAAATCATAAAAATTATATTATAAATTTAGAATACTATACAAAAAAAATTTTATTTTTAATTTTCTCTAAATACCCAAAAATAGTTGTATGTTTATAATATTATATTTAAAATACTTATATTATATTATATAATAAATATGTTTGAATATTTTATAACAATACTATATATAAATATATGATATAATAAAAAAAATTATACCATTACACTTTTATATATAATTGTTTTTATAAGTAATCAAATAGTTATATTTAACATTCTATATATGTTAGATAAACTTAAAAAAAATATTAATAAATAACTTTTTAATTTATGTTTTATGAGATAGCCAAATACTATAAAATATTTTTTAATATAATATATAAAATTAGAAACTATTGATTTGATGACTAATTGATAAGTGAGTGACCAACTCTTGACTTGGTGACAATCCTTACCTTTTATTGTCTGCTCCAAACATCTTTGATAACGTTAGAATTGGAACCATTTAAAAACATAAAAGTTGTAGGAAAATATTTAAGCTTTCCAAAAAAAAATAAAGGTCATTTGGAGTTCTAGAACTCTAGATATGGGCCAAAAACTAAACAGTATTCGAGCTGCAGGATAGATTTGAACTTCTTCGTTGTTGTTATAATTTGGATTTGAAAATTACCTTTTTAAATCTTGGGCTCTTATGAAAGTTGTAGGCCTATGTTTTACTTTTCCATTCATATAAAGTAAGCCTAAATCTGAGATCTACAGCTCTAGATATGACCGAATTACCGAACAGTGTTCCAGTTTGGACTGCACCATCATCTCTTTTCTAAGTTTGTCTATCTCTTTGTTCTTTCAATTTAAGTACTTAAACTCATTAATCAATCCTTTCATTTATATGATAAGCCTGCATTTAAGATGAACATTTACCACAAGTTAAAGGTATCTTATATTATTAGATATGTTATTATAAAACATACTTTAGCTAAGGAGTTATTGATACTTCAAGTGCAAAATAATGATATAAATGACACGATCAAGGAGTTGATGTCTTATCCCAAGTGCAGAAATGTCAAAGTAATAAATAATCCTGCAAGACCGGTGTCAAACCACAAGGAGGTTAACTAAATAAAGTAATTAACTTAGCTAGACATTTTGAAGGAGAAAAACTTAAAGAAACAATATAAGAATATAAACATGAT